GGGTCCTTTCTCCCAATGTAAGACCACCTGGTTTCCACCCAGGCTGCCCCCTTTGCCCAGAGTGACTGCACATTGTGGATTTTTGGTCACTTGCTTCCAGGAAGGAGGGAGGGCTGCTGACAGAGCCCAGAAATGGAAACCAGGGGGCAGATCTGACGAGCTTCCTCCTGAAACCCTCTCGGGAAGTGTTGACGTCCTCTGATTTCTGGCAGAGCTGAGATGGGTGTTGGGTGTGTCCAGGAACCCTGAGGAGGTTCCCCTCTGTCTTGTGCCCGAGCGTGCGCAAGTGTGTCCTGTGTGTCTGTGTAGGAGGAGCGGCAGAGCCTGTAGCGCAGGCACAGCTGGGTGCAAGCCCCATTTTTTGTCACTTATCTGGCTCCTGAGGTTCAGGCACGTACTGAGGAGGAAGCCACCTGATGTCCACGCCCCAGAGCTCACAGCCCGGGATGGAGGCAAGATGTTCTGCCTCACCACAGCCCCGGGAGGAGCAGGTGTTGGCTGTGATGGGGACACGCTGGTGTCCCTCTTTCTCCTCCCCACCACGCCTTCTCCGGGCTCATAATCCTCCTGCTCAGCCCCCAGTGCTACCCCAGGCCTCCTCCTCTGCTGGATTTGCATCCTGACGCTGGTCCAGCGAAGCGACCCTCAGCCTAGAACAAACACTGGCTGATTGGCTCATAGTATTGATATTCACTTTACCAGTGCACCTCTGCTCAGACAGACACAGATACTCAGGGAGAGGAAAACCTCACAGATCTGTCCAACATACCCAGTTTTCCTGGCTCCCGAGACGAACCTCAACCCCTCCCACACCCTGGGCCCTCCTGCGCCATCTCCGAGTCCTCTGAGGAAGTGTCCCGAGGCTGTTTCTGTTCCTCAGGCTCTGACGACCTGATGTTGTTCCGGAAAGCTGTGGCTGTCACCAGTCCCTGAGTCCTGGGCCAGTGAGAGTGTGGTTCTGTCCTCAGAGGGACCCTCCTCCTTGGCATGAGGACCGAGGCCTCAGGTCTGTGAACTCCTGGATCCATTTCCGCATCCATCTCAGCTTCCTCTGTTGTGCACACAGTTGGTGCTCAGTGTGTGTGTAAATTCAATGACCTGCAGTGACCCCGGGGTAGACAGAAGGGTCGGGGCTGGGAGGCAGGACTCTGGCTTCCCTCCTGGCTCTCAGAAGGAGAGGGTCGAAGCCAACTGTCATGGCTAAAGTGTGGTGGGCATTCCCTCTGTACTGGGCAAACATTAGCTCGCACGCTCCCTGTTTTTCTTTTATTTATGGCATCTTCTGCTGCACAGAAAGCTTCATTTCATAAAGTCAGTGATGCTGTCAGGACCCGGTCCACAGCCCTTCCTCCCTCAGCTCAGCCTCCGGTGCTTGTCTTCTCCTTCTCCTCATGGCTCCAGATGGCTGCCCACCTCCAGACATCACGTCTCATGCCAGGGGGAAGACATCACATCTCATGCCAGAGTCTGTATGAGCTCCTGGTGGATAAGTGTAGTTAGCTACTTTGAGTGTGGCTGATGAGAAACCCACTACCTTACAATTTCTATTGCTGTTTTCATTTCGAGGCCCAATTTGTCCTCCTCCCTCTCTGAAGCCTTCCTGCCCACCTCCCCCTCCTACTGGTTGACCCCCCACCACCACTACCCCCCACCCCCCCGCCAAGGCCCTTGTCTCTCGTGGAGGGTCCTGTCCAACCGCACCCCTCACCTCTCTGTGGTGCTCCTCACCTGCGGCCCCATTCCAATCACTGACCCCTCCTCCTGGGCGGTCCTTCTTCCCCAACCCTGCCCCCTCTGCTCCTGCCTCCCCAGTGTCTGAGCAGCTGCTTGAGTCTTTCCCGTGAAAAGTCCCATGGGCGTGCGTCACAGTCAGAAGGATGTGGCCCTGAACCTGGGCCCGGCCTCCTCCCAGCTCAGGGACCTTGGACTGGACTTCATCTCCGGGCCTCAGGTTCCTCGCCTGGAACTCAGAGACGATGACAGCGATGGACTGTGGGGGCTGTTGTGACAGTTACATGAAAACGTATATGTCAGGGCTTAGGACAATGTCTGAGAGTGAATCCTCAACGAATGATCCTGTTATCATAACAAGAAAGTGGGGAAATCCATCATTCAATAAACCACTCAACCCGCAAATTGTCCACCATGCTTCCAGCACCTTCTGGCTCCTACTGTGTGCAGCCGGACACTGGGGGAGTCGGGGTGCACACGCAGTGTGGGGGCCTCAAGAGAGCAGTGAGGCTGAGACCTGGGACAGGGTCAGTTCCTGGGGAAGGAGCCAGGGAAGGGACGGGTGTCCGGGGCTGTGCCCACGGGAAGGGGCCGGTGGGCACGAGCAGCTCCCAAGAGGCTGAACCACCACACAGGGGAGGGGAGCACAGCCCTGGAGCAGGAGGACAGGCAGCACAGACAGACCACAGTGCCTGGGCCACAGAGGGGTCCCCCGCCCTTCTGCACTGCTTCCTGCCTCTGTGACCTGTGGCTTAATTGCTTAATTACAGCTGGTGGTCCCACCACACGATGTCCTGTGGGAGCTCAGGAGCTGCGTACCTGACAAAGACGGGCCTGGCACACAGCTGTTAGCGGGCGAACAGGCCCAACTGCTTTCCTGATCCACAACACGTGTGCACATACACACACACGCAAACACACACACACGGTGACATGACAAAAAGAATCAGGCTCGACCAGATCCGAGGATGTCGACACTTCCCAGGAGGTTCCGAGAAGAAGCTCATCGTCAGATCTCTCCTTGGTTTCCCTTTCTGGCCTCTGACTCAGCCCTGCCTCCCTTCTTAGAAGCGAGTGTGCAAAAATCCACAAGGTGCAGTCACTCTGGGCACAAGGGGAAGCCCGGGTGGAAACAGGTGGTCTTACACTGGGAGAAGGGACCCCACCATCAGTGCTGTCAGGGGCGGGTCCATGCAGAACTGTTCCCCCTCTCCCTAGGGCCCTGGTGTCACCAGGCTGCCAGTCTCAGAGCTCTGCCCGTGACATGGGGACTGCATCAGAGAGGGGAGCCGGTTGTCAGCAGGGAGCAGAAGGTCCAGGGTGATCTGGGCAGGCGAGGGTGTGGGGAGCAGAGAGCGAGGAGGTGCTGGGAACATTGCAGAATTGGAGATCTGTAAGCTGCTAGCTGAGAAGGTGGACTGGTGGGGAGGTGTCCTCCCAGGGACACAGGAGCAAAACACTCTCCCTACACTATGGCCTTGGTCGCCCTGCCACATGCTCAGGCGCCTTTGCGGTCACAGCTTCAGGGCTGCATTTGCTGGGGAGGGCCAGTGAGGCAGGCTGAGTCCTGCAAGGCTCTGGGGCTCTGGCCATAGGAGCCACCTGGGGAGGGGGGAGCAGGCATGGGGCTCTGACCTGCAGGGCTCCCCAGGACACGGGCTTTGTGCACAGCAGCCCCTCCCCATGACGCCTGCAGCGGGGGGCTCAGAAGCCCTGTGAGGGATGAGGGACTAGAGGAGAATTTGGGGTGAGAGGAGAGCTTGCCCCAGATCACGGTGACATCCTTCCCCCGGGAAGGCAAGACCAGGGGGACCGTGTTGGGGAAATTCTCAGGGACCCCGGGCCTGGTCTCTACAGCCCTGGCTGTTGCAGACATGCTGTAGAGACGCTGCTGGATGTGCAGGTGTGCTGTGTATGGAGACGGTGACCTGGGCAGTGTGGGCGCTGGTCAGGACACACAAGACTCCGCAGACAAGTCCTCACCCTGAAAACACCTGCAACAAAACGGGGGCTGAGCTCCCCCCAGGGCAACGATGTCAGGTTAGAGAGGACCAGGTCTAGAGCAGAGAGGAGATGGGAGGTGACTCCGCACAGGGTGGGTTGGGAGGACACCCTCCTGTCGATCCATGAGGAGAGGTGCCCACCTGAGAAGGTGGGGACACTGTGCTGAGGTCTCCACCCTGAAGATGTGAGGCCAGCCTGGAGGTCAGCAGTCTGGGCCCAGTGCCGGCGCCCAGGGCAGGCTTTGGGGGCTGGTCCAGCTCTCCCAGGACGGGCATCTCCCCTGAGAGTGAGCACCGGGCCAGGATGGGATGGTCTGAGGGGAAGCAGTATGGGGAAGTCTGTGGGACAGAGGGGCAGCCCCTCAGGGAAAAGCACGGCTGGCTGGGGCACAGGGTCCCACCTGGGGCTGGAATACAAATCGCCCCCTTTCCTCAGTTCCTGAGGTGGACAGAAAGGAGCACAGGCGAGGCCCTTTCTCAGGCGGGTGGCCATCCTGCATCCATCTGCACCCTGTGTGGTCATGATTGGGCCGTCCCCTTTGGGAGCCGTCCTTTTCTCCTCCATGTAACCAGGGAGGGAGTGAAGGCTCCATGTCCACTTGCTGTCCTTATCTGGCTGGCTCCTAAGGAGAGCTCAGCACACAGCAGTCCCCTTTCTTTCCAGCATGAGGGGTGAAGGCCGGCTGCCTGTCTCTCGGACTGGATTCTTCCTTCCCCACTGGCTCCCCACAGGCCCCTCCACTCAGCAGGCCCCAAGGAACCTGGACTAGGCCATGCCCTGTGCTGCTGCTGTGGGAGATTCAGGATGGGCGCCCTGGAGCCTGCCCGCTGGGGCTCTGTGTCCTGCACCAGGGCCTTCCTCAGGGTATGGACATCTGTCCTCTGACCCGGTGCCCTGCTGGTCCCTGCTGTCGAGGGACCACTCCCTCCCCAGATCTCATTGTCGCCTGGTCAGTCCAGGAGGCTTCCAGGTAGGACTGTTGTCAGAACAGAGAAACCAAAACCTAAACTTGTCATCGAAGACTTAGGGTGTGACATTGGGGCAGAGAAGTTCCTGCTTCTGTGCCACTCCCGAGGGTGGCATGAATGGCCTGAGCTCAGGAAGAGGTGGGGCCCAGCATCACACACTCAGCAGCTTCCATGGAAGTGCTTCGATGGTATATAAGGCTCCTGGGTCCTTCAAGAGCATCCCAGAAGGAGGACACCCACTGTGAGCAGGCAGAGGAGCAGAGGACACAGAACCAGGGACAGTGAAGGGACTGAGACATGGAGGCCAGTGCAGCGCCCATGGCCAGGTACCACCCATCCCCCCAGCACTCCTGCTCTGGAGCCCCCTCCTCCGGGTTCACTGATGGGGACTCGCCTGCTCCCCTCAGGGCTCCTCCAGACCCCCGGGGGCTCCTCCTCTTCTCTGTCTGTCTCCTGCTGGCCCATCTTCGGTCCAGCTGTGACCCCTCAGCTGATGCCCAGTCTGCTTGTCCAGCCCGCATCCCCCAGGCTCCTGGGGTCTCCTCCTTGCTGGTCCCCGTTCCTCCTCTTCCTCCAATCCCCTCTGAAATCTATCATTTCCGCTTAGGCATCGCCTCTGAACTGTGGGTGAGGAGGTCACTTTCCCTTTAGGATTTGGATTTTGTCTAGGACACACATGATTCCCACAGGTAGAAAAATGTTCGGTGATTCTGTGAGGAGCATAGTCTCTTGCATTCTCTTTCCCCCGTGGTCCCACTCTGGACTGTGTTTGGCCCCGATGCAGCTTGTGGCTCAATTTAACCCTGAAGACAAGAGGAAAAAGCCCCAGTGGGTCCACTTCCCGCAGGGGAGTGGGTCAGCGGGGAGCGAGCTGGGAGGGTGAGGCCAGGAGAGGTGACCCGGCTACTCCAGGCAGAGGGAGAGGGCCACATCGGAGGCGCTGAGCCCCCTGCACTGCTCCTGGGGGAGACCCTGGCTCAAGGATGAGGCTGATGTCCCCAGGGGCTCCCAGACGGTGTCAGAGAGGGACGCCTGGTGGCTCCAGCAAAGAGAGTGGAAGCCAGTCATCTCTTGGTTTGGCTGTGATGTGGGGGCATGGGAGGGAGCTCAGGGTGGAGGGGGAAGGGGTGTAGAGGGGAGGGAACAGCACTGAGTGGTCCCTGAGGGAGCCCCACGTCTTTGGGTTTCTCCCACCTTTGCCCCAGACGCCTGATGCCTGAAGACACCTTCACTGAGAACTTCAACAATGTGGTTTGGCAGAAGGCGACCTATCTGTGCTATGAGGTGGAGCTCCCGGATGGCGACTACAGGGTCCCGCCAGGCCAGGACAAGGACTTCCTGCACAACCAGGTGACTGACCCAGCCCTACTGCAGCTGCGGGACGTCCCAGTCCTGGGACCCTCAGGGGAGAAGCTTCTTGGCTCACAGGGTGTCCCACAGAGCTCTCCCTCCTCGTCCCCGCAGCTGCTGCGGCTCCACCTGGGGTCAGGTGGGGTCCGTTTCTGCTGGGATTGGCGGCTTCAGCCACACGTCAGGAACTAGTCACAGTGTCCCAGGGTGGCACCACCAGCCCAGTGTCACCCCAGGCTCCAGAAACCCCTCCTGTTGTGCCTGTGAGGATAGGTCTGGATAGAGGGAAGGCAGTTGGGACAAGCGTCCTGGGGCAGCCTCTGGTCTCAGAGTGCACGTTGTGTTGGCTCCCGGTGCTCCCTCTGGTGACTCCTGGGGCGCCTGACCGGACCCCAGCCCATTACTTAGGAGATCCGGGCAATGGCGCTGCTCCACACACTGCACGGCCGGCTGCTCTGAGCCCAGGGACGCCCCGCTAGCCCTCGTGCCCCCATCACACTCCCGCCCAAGGTCTCTGCACCTGCACCGGCAGCCTGACTTCTTCTCAGCTTCTGGTGGAGAATCTGTCACTCTGCAGTTTGGGCAAATCACCATCCTCTGAGCCCAGGCACCTCTCCCCTTGGCTCCCCTCACCCCTCTCCTCCCTGCACAGCGAGGACCTCACACACTTGGGCTCAGCACAGGGCGAAGCCCAGAGCAGAAGCTTGCAGAATTGTTGGTGCATGGGTGGGAACAGGGGAGGGGAGTAGACAGAGAGCGGGTGGATTCCTCCACGGAGGAAGCACCCATTTCTGTGGCATCAAGTCCATGAGCCTGGCGGCACCCGGCCTCCTCGTTGACTCCGCCGGCTCTTCATCTCCTCCCTGTGGGGCCAGACCAGGTGAGGCTGCTGAAGGCACTTACCTCTGCACCCAGCTCCAGGAGCTCGACAAACTCAGTCATCAAGATGCATCTGATTTCCTTTTTTCTTTTGCTGAGGAAGATTGGCCCTCAGCTAACACCTGTGGCAGTGTTCCTCTACCTTGTTTGTAGGACACCACCACAGCATGGCCACCGATGAGTGGTGTAGGTCTTCACCCAGGACCCAAACCTGGGCCGCTGAAGTTGAGCATGCCAAGCTTTACCACTTAGCCACGGGGCTGGCCCTATTTTAATGCAATAGTTTAAAAATAAAAATTAACACACATTCCTTGATGAAGGATTGCAAAGAATGTAAATGAAGACTGATCAGAGCCACCCCTGAGGGCCCAGCAGTTACAGCTCAGCGCGCTCTGCTTCGGCGACCCAGGATGGTTTCCCGGTTGAGAAACCACAGCACCCATCAGTCAGCAGCCGTGCTGTGGTGGTTCACGAAGAACTAGAAGGACTTACAGCTAGGAAATACAGCTGTGCTCTGGGGCTTTGGGGAGGAGAAATAAAGGCTGGTCAGTGTCAGTGCTGTGGGGATCCACAGAGAGCTGAGCTGAAATGAAGGCAGCGCTACGGAGCCGGCCCTGTGTAAAGTGGGGATGTGTGTTCACCACGGAGTGTTGCATTGTGTTTGATCATGTAAACACTGCATGGACATCTGATTCATCTTGATGCTGAGGTGGGCGCCCCGCCCCTCTAGTTTTGTGCTGAGGCCAGTGCCTCCCCTGCTCCCCCTGTGCTGCCCTCCCCCTGTGCACAGCAAACGACAGAACACTTTTCTTCTTCTTCTCCACTCAGGGTGGTCACATGGCCGGGCCACCCCGCCACGCAGAGATGCGCTTCCTGGACCTGATCTCTTCTTGGAACCTGGACCAGGATCTGTGCTACAGGGTCACCTGTTTCATCTCCTGGAGCCCCTGTGCTGTGTGTGCTCAGAGACTGGCTGAGTTCCTGCGGGAGAACAGCCACGTGAGCCTGCGCATCTTCGCTTCCCGCATCTACACCAAGGGAGAGAATGGAGACTACAGGGAGGGACTGCGCACCCTGCAGGAGGCTGGGGCCCAAATCGCCATCATGACCTCAAAAGGTCAGCACTCCTGTTCTGGGGATGGGGTCCAGGGGCAGGGAGAAGCCTGTAGGAAGTTGCTAGAAAAGGATGGGCAGGATGCAAATCCCTGGGGGAGGAGCCTTTGTCTGTGGCTTGCAGGGGTGATGCTAGACTCTGGAAAGGACTGTGGGGCTAGTGGAAGGGAGAGTTCAGGGAGGCGAGCTGGTCCTAGGGAGGGAAGGGAGGTTGGGTGGAGGTGCAAGAAGGATGTGGGGCTTCCAGAAAGGAGGAGAATTGGGCTGGCTCAGCTTCCAGTTGGAAGAAAGAGTTTGACGGCTAAGTTCCTGGGGAGAACAGAGAAAAGAGGGCAGTGAAATTGATGGGGAATACTGTCCCTAAGAGTCAGCCAGACTCTGGCCCTTGCCCCTCCCAGGTGGGTCTCAGCCTCATGTCCCCTGTCCCTTCAGAGTTTGAGCACTGCTGGAAGACCTTCGTGGACAACCAGGGAAGGACCTTCCAGGCCTGGGATGAGCTGGATGCTGAGAGTCGCTACTGGTCCATGGAGCTGCAGCGCATTCTACAGCCGACTGCTCCTCCCTCCCTGCCTCCCCTCTACTTTCCTCCCTCCCATCCTGTCCCTGGCCCTTCCTTTCACTCACTCAGAGGCTCCTCTGGGTGATCTAGTCCCTCCTGGGTGGCCAGCTCCATGCCTCCCTTCCCTTCTCACAAGCTCTCTGCTTTCTCCCCTCCCTCCTCCTCTCTCCTCCTCCATCTTGGTGACTGCCCCGCACCTGTGTCCTCTTTCCACCTTTCCACTCCCTGCTCCACCCAGCTACAACTGCTCACCCTCGACTCAGGAACAACAAAGGATGGACCTTACTCTCTCTAAAGAAGGCAGGAGCCCTCCACTGAACCACACATCAAAGCACTTTCTATCAAGAAATGCGAACACACCATTCACCACCATGTCCACATTGATCCAAGGAAACCAGCAAAAGCCTCGGAAGCTCCTAAGAAACAGTTTCAGAAAAAAAACCTCCGAGTGGATTTACTTTTCATAACATCTGTCTTAGGTTCCGGATAAACATCAGTAAGACTACACTCAACACTATCAGAATAGTCTTAAATTTTTAGAGAAATAATTATTCTAATTGATTTTAAACCCAGAGCAGTACAGTGAAATACTAAGAATCTAACGCTGATTTTTTTCTCTGTAAATGTATGATGAAGTCCATATATTTAAATAAACACCTGCTAATGTGCCAACTCCGTGCTCTTTCTTAGTGGACCTTCCGGGGGCGGGGGGGGGCAGTGGTCGCACTATTTCCATCTGTTGTGAGTAACAATCAGCTAAACCCTGTAGGAGGGGAATCTAGAAAACCTTCCCTCATGGACAACCTATCACACTGCTAGCAGTACTGTTTTTGAAATGACCACTGTTTTTGAAAAGGCCACGTGATAAGAGACAGAGAAAGACCAAGTCTAAGAATTGGGAGGGAGCATTTAAATGTGCAGCTAGACGGGTGGCTGGGACTCACTCCAGCCTTCTCCTCGTTCCTAAGTCCTCTGCCTTGGAGAGGAAGCTGAGGGGGAGTTTTGCTGCTCAGAGGATGGCTCCGCCCTTTACGTGCAGGAACCACGCGGAGTCCAGCCCTGGCAGCTGGGCGTCCTGCACAAGGCGTTCCAGGCAACCGGGGCTCCCAGGTCTCTCCTCACAGACATCTGCTGACATGTCAGGGGCCAAACTGTGTCCCAGCCTCACCCAATGACTGTCAAGGGCTGGGGGAGAGGAGTCATTTAGTATGAGACACGGGAGGTATACAGAATGGGGGCATCCTTCAAAGAAAGGATTAAAAACCTTTCACGATGGGATGCAGTCTTTGATTAAGATACAGAAACTTCTAAAAGACAAAATGATTTCAAAAATGGCTACAAAAGACATCTGTTAGCAAAAAGAAAAAAATCTTTGACAGAAGTCGCTTGTTATCTGAACAGGTCCAACTTCCAGAAAAACAGTTTGGATCCAACCGTTCTTTTGAGGTTTTTTTTTTTTTTTTTAAGATTTTATTTTTTTTCTCCCCAAAGGCCCCTGGAACACAGCTGTATATTTTTAGCTGTGGGTCCTTTAGTGGTGGCATGTGGGATGCTGCCTCAGCACGGCCAGATGAGTGGTGCCATGTCCCCGCCCAGGATCTGAACAGGCAAAACCCTTGGCACCCGCAGCAGAACGTGTGAACTTAACCTCTCAGCCACGGGGCTGGCCCCACTTTTGCGTTTTGTACGCGAGACCTGGTTCAAATTTTGAATGTGTCTGTTTGCGTCTGTGTGTCTCTGCCTGTATTTGTCTGCCTCCAGATGATCTAAGTTCTAAAGGAGCTCTATTTAATTGGTTTGGAATAAACACTTTTATAAGTTATTTATAAATGTAATAGAAACTAGCTCAGATGTTTTTCAGGACATGACATAAAATGATCTTTGGTAAAGGCAAACTTGCTTAAGTTTATTGCTTTGATAAAAATAAATATGTTTTCAGAGTTATCAAGTTGGGATGTGGTACAAACATTCTCTCTGTTACATAAGTTGTCAGCAAAACATAATAATTGAGAATAACAGCTGATTTTGTCTGATGTCTCATGAAGGTTTTGTAGGCAATAAAAATATAATTATTGGGAAGAAGAAAACTAAATAGATATGAAGAGGTTTCTGGAGGAACTTTTTAACAATAATTGTGTGTTATGGTAGAGGTACTTAAAACAAGTCAAGATGACGGCTGACTGTCTTAATATCACATTAAGATTTTGAGAGTAATCTAAACATAACTGTTTGGAACACAATTTAAATAGATACAAACTAGAAATAGTTTTGGGTGCAATAATTACGTTTTATGGTGTATGTATATATATATATATATGCTTGAAAAATAGCTTGCAAAATCTTTTTGGTAATTTGAAACTTAGAGTTTTGCTACATTAAGTTAGATGATAAAAATTTGTTGACTATCTCAGCCATTTCCACATAAGATAAAATATTGGAAATTGACTACTAAGCATAGATTTATCTGCCTTGATTTCTTGGCTCAAAGAAACTAAAAGATGCTTGAGTTTATTGATAAACATGTTTTGCACATGCTGAGAAATTTTCTATTAGAAAGCACATGTTTCTAAAAGGTCTATATGCAAGGAAAGTAAAATGTATGTTTTCAGTAAAGAAGGTATAAAGAATAGAGATATTTTGTTTGTTCTATTAAGAAAGATAAATTTGTCCTAAAGTACTAGGAAAGAAGAAAAAAGGAAAGAAGGCATGGGACAAATTCTGAATGTAAAAAGTAATGGCAGAAGGTTTGTGGAAGGAAAACCCTGAGGAGTTTTGTGCATGGTCAAGTTGGCTAAGATTGAAATTAATTTAATTTCAGTATCAAAAGTAAGCTGGTACAAAAGTAGAATTTGGCTTCCTCTCTCTCTCACCTATAAAGATAATTCCCTGGGACTTTTGGTCTTGTATTGATAAAGAGGGTAGAAAAGGACTTTTTAATTTTTGAGTAAGTTTACCTAAACGACAGAAAATGTGTGTTTTGATAAAATAATTTCCTACGTTTACAAGGACTGAGGTCCACCTATGACGGGTTGTTTGAGTGTTTGACTCTCTGTGCCTTTGACTGCTTCTGCTGTCATCCTGAGTCAATCGATAGCTAAACATTGTTTCCATTTTACCAAGCGTTTTAAAACGTTTTGATATTTTTGACAAACTCGCCTCCTCCAAATTAAAGTCTTCCTTTTGACTTAAAAAGGAAACTTTGAGAATTTCCCATCAGCCCTAGGACTTCTCAAAGAATTGGTTCTGTCTGAAAAGAGGGAGATAATAGACTAATTAAACTTATTTGGCATGTTAAATTACATGGAAAGCATTATCAAATAAATGATAACAAACCTTCTTGCGTAACATTGTATGGATAAATGTTATTAACACAAATATTTTAAAAATTACATAACCTTCTGAAAATTCTGATCTCTCCTGAGTGTCAGTCATAGTTCTAGTTATTATCTCAAATTGTTTGTGACGAAAATAACCAAGTGTTTTTGTCAAGCCCAGGGGAGGTGGGGACAGTCCATGTCCTGGGACGGGAGGGCTGGGGGCAGTCATCACACGTAGGAGGGCCTGAGGGAGGGAGCCGCCAGCCCTGGGTCTTGGAATGACCGTGGCCCCAAGTCCAGCAGAGAAAAGGATGAGATGTAGCCACAGGGACCAGCCTGAATTCAGGGCAGGGCAGCTGGGAGGCCACCAGCAAAGGAAACGAAAGCTTCTTGGCTGGGCCCAGGCGTGGGGCTTAGAGAGGAACAAGGGCCTGCAGGGACCCCAGGACAGCGCTGCAGCCTCCCTGCCTCCTCCCGCTCTGGCCCCCAGGTGCCCGAGGCCTCCAGGGGCTTCCACCTCCACCCACTGGCCACAGGGCCGAAGGGCCAAAGGGCAGCACAACCCCTACCCATGCGTCTGGAGCAACTGGCTGGTGTCACCCCGTCTTGCTAGACATTGACGTCCTTCACAGCAGGTGTCAGCCAGGGACAGGCACAGACACGCCCCATGTGCAGGGAAAAAGGTAAAACTCTAGAGATTTCCTCCTTCGGACACCTTTCTTCCCATCAAGTTTAGACCTAAGACGCTGGCAGCGTGGAGTTGGGTGGAGGCGACACAGAAGGAACCCCGAGTCCCAGGTCGCCCCTCAAAGTTCCTCCCACACTCCCACAGGCCTCCCTGGACCATGTTGGGGTGGCCAACACCAGTCACAAGGCCGCCAGAGCCATTCCCTCCAGCCCTGGAGCAGAGCTGCCACCACGGCCACTCGGGGATCTTCCCAGTCTCCCCTGGGCTGGTCTCCAGGAGGTCAGGCCCGGTCACCCCTGCATTCCAGGCCCCCAACCGAGGCATGACCCCGAGAAGGTGCTCAGTTCACCATTACTGGTGAATGAATGAGGCATCAGCCTCGCCTTCCCTGGGCAGAGAGCAGGGTTCCAAAAGGCTGAGCCTGAGGACCCTCATCTGGCTTGCATGGTCTCCCAACCTACCGCCCCGCTCCCTCCTCCTCTGGGGGCCGGGATCTTGCCCCGTGGAGATGCGCCCGTATTCCCATGGACCTTCGGGAGAAGCTGGAGCCACACAGGTGCGTTTCCTGGAGCCCTCGTCCTTATGTGCCCAGACCATGGCCCAGATCCTGACTGAGCACGTGACCTCAGCCTGAGGCCCGACTTCTACAGGGACCTCCAGCAGATCTGCAGGAGCTGAGACCCTGCCCACGCCTGAGGCCTCATGGAGATGATGGCTTCCAGGGGTCAGCTGCCTGGCAGGGGTCTGGTGAGGAGGGCCTAGCTAGTCCCCAGGGGAGTGTCCTGAATTAGGACTGTAGGTGACACTGGGGGCGAGATTTGGGGTCCGAGACATACAGGCGCTGGAGAGGGGCATGTGTGGCCGGGCAGCCTCTGCTCCCTCCTGGAAGCTGACCATCTCCTCTCCCACGGAAGTTTGCAGAACGCTGGGAAGACTTTGTGCTCCACCAGGGAGGGCCTTTGAGCCCTGGCCCAGCCAGCACACAGGCACCAGCAGGCATCCTGGGGGGAGGCGCCCCCGGCCCTCTCTCTCTCTCCCTCTGGCTTACTCTCCCCACCTCCCCGGTCTCTGGCCCTTCCC